TACATACATATAATTAAAATGAACTGGAATATATAGTTATGCAGTTGTATCTGTTATGCCTATATTGGAGTAAGCTGCGGTTTAATATATCTGTAAACTTGGTTACCAGATCTGTTTCAGGTAGGTAGGTAGGTAGGTAGGTAGGTAGGTAGGTAGGTAGGTAGGTAGGTAGGTATACATAACTGGATTTTTACAGTGGCTGCATCATACTGTTTAGCACATTCTAAAGCAGCTTTAAATAATATAGTATTCTCATAGAGCCTTAATCGTCATTTATTTTACCAGCCAAATTGAGCATGCTTTGTTTGAAGCTGAATGTGAATAATTTGAAATGCTACTACTTAATTGGAAAGTAATAGAAAGGGGAGGCATATTGAGGCGTGCCCATTTTTACAAAAGATCCTTTCAACAAAAGCATTGCCATGTGTTTGAGGTGCAATGGAAGCATTCCAGGTTCTCCTATTATTATCTCTATTAGCTTAACTGTAAGGCAAAAGCCTTTTCCTTACCATCCAAGTGGAACTGTATGCGAAGTGCTTACCCTTGGCTTTCTGCCCTAGATCACATCAGCCAGGCTTGGTGTGCATACCTAAGGAAAGGTACTCTGTATCCCCAAGGGGCACATTAAGTGAGCTCTTGACAGAGAGATTTGTCAGATAGAATTCATTAAGCATCAGCCAACTGCTGGATTGCAAAAAAAACATGATCATAAACAATACTGTTTGCCTGTACTGCAGACAGACAGTATGCTTTACAGGGGGAAAACAGACCTGTTGGAGTTGTTTTTTCTTCATTGATTGGTAAGAAACAAATCTTGAATAAACATGTTTCTCAGAAGCAGACTACATCTTTGTAGAGAACCTGTGGTCCATCATTTTTGGGGCTATACTACCCTGTTTCCTCAAAAAGAAGACTTAACCTGAAAATAAGCCCTGTATGATTTTTCAGGATGCTCGTAATATAAGCACTACCCCAAAAATAAGCCCCAGTTAAGTGAAACCCTGCCCTCCACCATTGTGGAGTAACCAGAAGAATATGACATGACTATTTGAATCAACGTAGATTGTTGTATGTGAAAAAAATAAAACATCCCCTGAAAATAAGCCCTAATGTGTTTTTGGAGCAAAAATTAATATAAGACCCTGTCTTATTTTTGGGGAAACACAGTAGCTCCACTTGGGCTCTGGAGAAATTATGCTTCTTTTTTTTAAAAATCACCATAAACACCCTGCAGATCAAAAGCCTAGCATGGGTATGGTGGCAAGGGCAGTCTGCTCACATTGCATAGGAAATTATCTTCTTGAGAGACCATTTGTGTGTATCACATGTGCTCTGAAGTGGAATATATCCCAGGAAGGCTGAACCCTAGATCAAAGTTTGAGGGCCAAATTTTGTTCCCTTCCCTAAGAAATTCATAGTTTATTACTGCTTCTATCTGATGGTGTACAATAGGCCTACAGCCAAGTGAAATTCAATAATACCAGTGTTCAGAAATGTTTTTTTTTTGGTATATTATAGAGTTCATAACATGTTGACTATTTGTGCACACTGCTCATGGCTGTGCTGTGTGGAATTCTAGGAGTGGTGTTTCAGAAAGTAAGTTCTTCTGTCTCTGAATGCTACATGCATCATGTCTCCCTCCTTTCCCTCGTGTGGAGAGAAAGCTGTTCTGCCCCTGTCCTGATGTCTTCTCTATTCCCATTGTAAATTTATTATTGGTCAATGCACTCTACCATTCAGAGGCGCTCAATACCATTTGCTAGGTAGATGCAGCAGATGGAGATCCACATCCATATGAGAATTGGTACATAGTGGTTCAAGCATATTATGAAGAACAACATAGAGTATGAATGGTATTTTCCCTTGTGTTGAAATAATATTCACTTGGTCTTGGTAAAAACTTCAAAGAAAATTTACTGTATAACATAAGTAGAATAAACTAACAATGCTTGAAACGTTTGGTTTATTACAGAGTTGTGCCTTACAAATTTATAATATATTTTTATGATCTTAACAGAAATAGTAACAGACAAGGAGACTCTTCTAAACTACATCTCTAACAGACTGCTTCTAACAGACATCTAACTGTCACTTGTTTTTATCTATTTGGCAGTTAAGCCTCCTAACACTCATTGGCTAACACAAGAGAGAATCTGATTGGTTAGCAAGAGAATCTTTGTCCCTCAAGATATTTTGGACTACCACTCTCATAATCCCTTGCTTTGGCCATGCTTGATGGACCTAATAGGAGTTGTGTCCAAGACCAATTTAAGGTCAAGTCTTCCACATCTCTGGATTAGATAATAACTCTTCCACGGGTAGGATTCCTCTGTTCTCCATCTTTGTCAAGATGATCGCTTGATCCTTGCCCAGCATGGCTGATCAGAGCCATAAAGGGGGCTATGATTGGTTGGGTCATGACCACTATTAATTCATTTCTGAGGGAGGGAATCTTTCCCTCCCGTTTAAAGGAAACGATTGTCTGACCCAGCAAATGCCCCCAGTTAGCATCGGACAACCTTAACAACTTCAGTCTAATGGCTAACATACCATTCCTGGGCAAGATGATCAAGAGAGTGGTGGCAAATCAGCTGCATTCTGGATTCAGGCCACAACGGGGTACTGAGGCGATACTGGTTGTGCTGCAGGATGACCTTTTTAGGAGGCTGACAGGGCAGATGCATCTGGTTGGTACTCCTAGGTCTCTCAGGGGTTTCAGTACCATTGACCCCAGTATCCTCTCTGAGGTTGGGACTGGGGGCTTGACATTGAGCTGGCTCCAATCCTTCCTTGAAGACTATGTCCAGAGAGTTCAGATAAGAGAGGAGGTATCGGCACCTTGGATCCTACAGTATGGGGTTCCTCAGGGATTGGCACTATCCCCAATGCTGTATAACGTCCATCTTAAGCCATTGGGGGAGGCCATCTGGAGATTTGGAGTAAGATATCACCAATAACCTGATGACATGCAACTCACTCTCTCTCCATTACCACCTCTGCAGTGGATGCCATCCAGACACTTGAGCATTGCCTGGTTTCAGTACTGGAATGAACCAGGGCTAACAGGCTCAGCCTGAACCTGGACAAAATGGGACATCTGATCGGTTAGGGAAGATGGTCCCTAAGCTCGATAGTACTTTGGGTGTTTTTCTGGACCCGACTCATTCTTGGGAGTCCCAGATTGCAAGCATATCCACATCAGTTTTTAACCAGCTTAGGCTAATTGCCCAACTTCACCTCTGCCTAGACGAGGACTCCGTCTGGATTTTGGTGCAGGCCCTGGTAATCTTCCAGATCAACTACTGCAATGCTGTCTACATGCGGCTTTCCTTGAGCCTTGTCCAGAGACTTCAGCAGGTCTAGAATTGGCAGCCTGACTGGTGGTTGGTGCAAGCAAATTTGACCACATCACTTTGTTTCAGGCTTGCCTCCGCTGGTTGCCCATGGCATCCCAGATCAGGTTCAAGGTTCTGACACTTGCATACAAAGCCCTCCACAGTTTGGGCCCATGTTACTTGTAGGAGCATCTTTCCTTAATGTCATGTGCATGTTGTTGCTTTTAATGTTTCTATCTTGTATTTTTGTTTTCTATTATAAGTGCTATAGAGAGTAGTGCCTCAGCACTAATGGGAATGAACTTGTGAATGAACAAACTAACTAAATAAATAAATAAGAAATGGATGCTTTTTCTCCCTATATGGCTGCTATGGTGATCATGGTACGAAGTGGTATGAAGTCCTTAGTATTTTATTCGACATACAAAAATTCATACTTAAACAATCCTGTATTATAAAATAAAATTGTGATGCCGTGTATAGAACTACCATTATACCAGTTGTGACACACACTAATTTTTCTCGACACAAAAATTATTAGTGTTGCCATTAAATCAGTGCACAACAACAAGGATGAATATATTTTTCACAGAGAACCATACATTCCATCTCCATCTGATTACCAGTTGCATATAACAAGAGGTTATATAGCAACCCAGAACTGCTGCCATAAAATTGGGTTTCTGTTAGGTTCCTTTCTAAATTATCATCTGTTGTTCCAAATGTCTCTGTTTGTTGCACTGAAGCTTAGCATAACAATTATTCTATTTCCTTGTCTGGTTTCTTTCTTTTTCTTAATGTCAGACTTTACAGTTTTGATCCTAGTGCATTTATATCCTCCTTGTGTGTTATTTCATTTAGTTGTAGAATACAAACAATTTTTATCAGAACTGGTTGTTTTTTTTTAAAATTAATTCCCCCAAAGAACATTTAATTTATTTATTATTTAATTTTTTTGCCTGCTTCCTTTTTTAATTATTATTTTAATTTTTTTAAAATCAAATGAACATCATAGACAACATAAACCTAACACCACAATGAAATACAATTACATAATACACCAGTGCCACCTTTACCCTCAGGGGTAGTATTAAAAATATTTTTAAATTTCATTCAATCCATTTTCTCTCCAAAAAGTAAGAGTGTGTGTGTGTGTGTGTGTGTGTGTGTGTGTGTGTGTGTGTGTGTGTGAGAGAGAGAGAGAGAGAGAGAGAGAGATGTTTCTCTGTGTGTGTGTGAGAGAGAGGGGTGTGTCTGTGTGTGTGTGTGTGTGTGTGTGTGAGAGAGAGAGAGAGAGAGAGAGAGAGAGAGAGAGAGAGAGTGAGTGAGTGAGTGAGTGAGTGAGAGAGAGAGAGAGAGAGTGAGAGAGGCCTGTAGTCCACATTATGTTGGACAAATTCTGGTTTGGTCTCTTTCTGAAATAGTAAGCAGCACCTTGAATTCAATTAACACTGCAGTATTTTCTCTCTATAAACACATGTCTGCAGATAATGAAGGCAGATGACTGCACATGGAAAATATGGTTAATAGATTTCTGTGGCTATTTCTGAAAATGAATTGATATTTCCTCTTATAAAATCAGGCTTTTGCTTAAGTGAGGAAAAGGAAAATATAACTTGAGAAGTCCTCTGACCACTTCCTTTCTTCTGTGTTTTTTATCTACAGTTTTCAGCACCAATTCAACTAGAAGCATGTGCTTCAGAAGTGAAGAAGTTGCTGAAACTCATTCTGGAGATCCTTTCTGTTCCCTGTTGTGGCAAATATATGTCTATTGGGAGAAGTGATCAGTCAGATAAGAGAAACTGGGAAACAACAACACATCCATTTAATTTGAAGATGTTCAGACTTTCACAAGCTCTCTGAGATGTCTCTTCTGCCAAATGAAATTTTGTTCCTGTGATTACCCAGCTGCTTCCATAGAACAAGAACACTTAACATGGCTCTCATTCTGTATGAAGCTGTGACTTTATTTCTTGGCATGGCAACAGCATTTGGCCCAGTGCCCCGGATCACCTGGGAACCCAGAGGTAAGAGTATAATTTTAGATCAGGATGATATATAAAATAAATGCAGATTATTAGTTAATATCTTCGTAATAGGATTTGTCAGAATACTTCATACCAGTGAGATAAGGCAAAGCAAAGCGTGGAGATCATGGATTATCTCCACCATATTTCCTTTAACCTGTTAATGGGTGTTTTTAGATAAGTACATGTAAGGGAGGGTGGAGGAATTAGAGAGATAACTTGAGTTGATTGATTGAAATGAATCCACTGGGTAATTAGTGGGTTTTTTTTTGTTTTTTTTTTTTGTTTGTTTTTTGTTTTTTTGTAATTATGGTCATCCCCATTGGTATATGCCAGCTTTCAGCTATGATAAAAGTTCTCCCCATGGTCCTGCCTCTGGGAAACCATTTCAATACCAACCTGGTTTTTACTTGATAGCGCTGATTCATAATATATCTCTAAGCCTTCTGCATATCTAAAGGAAATAAAGGAAAAGCAAGCTTAGGAGAACTGTATCTTACAGGCTATTCCATCCTCAAGGCAGGTGACAACAAAGAAATAGAACAGCAACTCAGAGATTGGGCACCATATTTTCCACACTAAAATCACTGGCAAATGACTGCTTAAATTGGATCTAGTACAAGATTTTGTAGCATTTTCTGGGTTTTCCTCCCCAAAAAGCTTGTAAGCTAAATGCTTCTATAATTGCTTCTCTTATTGCCAATCTAATCATTCCGTCTGCTGTCGCCTGCTGTTTCTAAAGGAAATAGCTTTTTCTGCCTTCCTGCTCTGTATTGAAGTCCCTTAGGGATCCATTCTCCAGCCTTTGCTTAGCTTTTTGACAGTATCTCTGGGTGACCTCATCAACTAACATCTTTTTCAGTACCACCTGTATACTTATGGCTACCAGTTCTATCATTGTGCCCCAGAATGTCTCCCTTAATGCATTTTTACACAGATGGCCATGCTGGCTTGGTGAAGTTCAGCAAACTGTAGCCTAAAAGTAATTTTTCTGGACTCTGGACTTCTTATCCTGCCTTCCAGACCCTCTTCACATTTATTTTCTGTGGCTCTGTGTTTTCATCCATGCTTATGTTGAAGGCTAGGGAGAGAAGGTTAAAGGTAGTGAGATAACATTTTCATCCACAGAAAGCACAATGTCAGAGTGAAAGAATGTGAACACACACTCATCTCATAATTTTATAGCAAAAGTCACAAGTATGACAGTGTGAGAAATTAAAATATTTTATATTACTTAACCTTGCTTCTGTCAAGAGTTAAAAAGGCAGCTCATTGTTAATTGCCATCCTTTCCCCTTTCCTTTTGGAATCTCCATGTGTGCTACCCTTTGTTACCCTTGAGAAAAACATGTTATCCTTAAGAAAGGCAAAGCTGTAAAGGGTTGTTGGTAAACAAATTGATTCTGCCTTTCCACAGCCTTTCTTGATTTGATCATCCAAGTTGTCTAAAAACAACTTTTAAAAATCTACATAATGGGTCAAATAACTCAGGGGGGTGGCTCTGATAATAGGCAAAATGTATGTCATCTGTATTTATGTTACTTAATATAAGAAGAACAAAGGAGACTTTAAATAAATGGAATTAAACTAATTAATTTAATTAATCTAGCACTATTTAAAATGAGCCTCTAAGACAGTAGTTCCCAACCTTGGGCCCCCAAATGTTCTTGGACTGAAACTCCCAGAAGCCTTCACCACTAGCTGTGGTGGCCAGGATTTATAGGAGTTGAAGTGCAGGAATATCTGGCAATCAATGGTTGGGAAGCACTGGTCTAGGGCGATACATTTAGACTTAGCTGCATGTAGAGTTGATCCCTTGATGCAAGTGTAATCTAACTCAGTCACATTGATTTCAATGGGCTTTCTTTTGAGCATGAGTAATTCTTGATTTGTCCCCTCAAACAAAACTTAAAAATTACCATGTTTCTCTTCTCTTCTGGGCTGCGCAAGGAACCAGTGTGTTTAATTAGCACCACTGAATATTGTATTTTCAAACACTTACAGAACAATATGTGTGTCATTATTCTTGTAACATCCTAAAAATTGTCCAACAGACATTGTGGCTGTCCCCAACTTCCCTGCCGGGCTCTTGTAAACTCAAGTCTGTGGTTTCCTTTACAGAGTCAGTTTATCTCATATTTGGTGTTCCTCTTTTCTTGCTGTCTTCCACCTTTCCCAGCGTTATTGTCTTTTCTAGAGAATCTTGCTTTTCTCATGATGTGCCCCAAAAGGACAGCCTCGGTTTCAACATTTTTGCCTCCAGAAATACTGTAATTCAGGCTTGATTTCATCTAGGGACCACTTGTTGGTCTTTCTGGCAGTCCCAAACTCTCCTCCAGCACTACATTTCAAATGAATCTTTTTTTTTCCTATCAGCTTTCTTCACTGTCCAGCTTTTTCACATCCATACATGGTGATTGGAAGTACAACAGTGAAACTTGATGATCTTTTCTAATTTCTTCATTTCTGCCATTCTGAGTCTCAGTCTTCTTCTGATTTCTTGCCTGCAGTTTGCATTAGATTGATGATTGAACCAAGTATACAAACTCTCTATTTCAGTTTCTTCATTGTCAATGCTGAAGTTGTGTAGTTCTTCTGCAGCCAACTCTCATACATCAATTATTTTTAAATGTGATATAAGCTTTTGGGCCCATCTGTAGCATTCCTGCAAATTTTGCTTAGTATGTTGTGCAATTTAATTGATATCTAAATCTAGCTCAGAATAAGATGATATACAGTCTTTAGGGTTAGGGTTAAAATATGCCTTGTGGTCACTGTCATTTGAATTTAAATTTCCTTTGAAATTGTGTTTTTAACAGAAGTTCATCTAGTACATTTTCAGGAGCCAGAAGTATTTAACTACTCAACCTTGTTACTAAATGAAGACAAAGATGTTTTGTATGTAGGAGCTAGAGAAGTTATTTTTGCTCTGAATTCACTGGATATTTCAGAAAAGAAGCATGAGGTGGGTATGCCATTTCTTATGTTTTATATTTAAGTACCTGCATATTCATAACCAGCAATTGAATCCTCAAATACTCAGATATCATACTTTCAGAATTGTGTGAGTTTTATTCTCCACCAACCATACAGAGGTAAATCTAAAAGTGCAGGTACTCATCATAGTCTCCATGGTCAATTCCCCCACCTCATAAGGAGAGGCCAAAAAATGCAAGCAGCAGATTTACTCTCTGCAAACAAACTAATTTTATAAAGTAAAGTTCTTAATTGCCAATGCAAGGCCAAACAGCCTTCAAATACTTGTCATTACGACAGGGATAGCTTGCAGTAATATCCAGTTCTGGAAAAATTCTACTTCTTCCCCACGTAGTGTGATTTCTTTCTGCTGAGATCAGGCAGGAAGGAGAAGCCTGAGAGGCGTTGGCAGTAGATGTAGCAGTCCCTGCCACACAGAAAGCCCCAGGCCTTCAATGCTTTTGAGCCCTGGGTCCACTGTACCGGAGTAGCTGTTTAGGGTATATATTTGCATGTGCATGGTTCTACATATTGTCTAAATAGAACACGTAATGCTGGTGGCATTCTGTGGCTATATAGGAGCTGACTGCATATGTGAAAGCTTTAAAATTGCTCAAGTTCAAGCATCATCATTTTGCAGTGAAAAAGACAGTAAATCATGAAGTAAAGACATCACTTTACCAGCTTAATAAACTACTTTAAAATCCCTGGGGAAACTAATAGGTTTTGACATAGTGTCAAGAAGGATATAACATTAGTACCAATCTCTCCTGAATAGTTTCCCTGTTCAAGATTCCACCACAGCAAAGAATTAGGAAAAGTCTCTCTGTTGTCACATTTTATACCCACAGAAGATGGGAAAGAGCCTCCCCTGCTGATTTTGAAGTAAGAAAGGCCTTAGTGCATGGGGAGGTGCAGCTCCTACAAATGTTACAGTCGCAAGACATTTAGAGCTTTAAAAGTAAGCACTGCTACATTGAACTGGATTCAGAAATGAACAGACAGCCATTACAACTGTTTCAAAAATATCATAATAAGACTTTATTTTAGCAGTCCTGGCCACTGCTTTCTGTGATACAAGATAAGAACATGAGAAGAGTCCTGCTGGATCAGGCCAAGGACCCATTTAGTCCAGCTTCTTCTGTCTCATGGTGGCCCCAGCAGATGCCTCTGGGAGCACACGAGACAACTAGATAGCTGTCTCCTGACACCCCTCCCCTGCATCTGGCATTTTGAGGTACCTTCCTTTTAAGCCTGGAGATTATACATCCCCATCATGGCTTGTAACCTGCAATGGAGATTTCCTCCAGGAATCTGTCCAATCCCCTTTTAAAGGCATCTAGGCCAGATGCCATCATCACATCCTGTGGCAAGGAGCTCCCAAGACTTACAATACGCTGGGTAAAGAAATATTTTCTTTTGCCTGTTCTCACTCTCCCAATGCTCAATTTGAGCGGATGTCCCCTGGTTCTCGTATTGCCTGACAGGGAAAAGAGCTAATATGCTTATTAGTTCAATATGACCTCCACATAATGACATATTACAGTAATTCCATGCCTCAATTGTTGTTTGTCCTCCAGGTTCTGATGAATTGGTGTATAAAACATATTTATGCCATACAGGAGACATGGTTAATAATCTGAGGTGATTTTTCCTATTTTCTGAGCAAGTGCATCTGGTGCCAAGCTGCGCTACTCTAGTAGGGCAGGTGTGTTTGGACAAGAACCAGGATATTTAGAACTCTGTGACTTCTTACATACCTTCTTGCATCTACGGCAGAATGGTCTTAGTTTGGGGGGTTTGGGAGTTTTTTGTTTTGGTTTTTTTCTATGATATGACTTCAACAAAATGGAACCATCTCAAATTGGGTATCATAATTAGAAAAACAGTGTTGTAAATGAGAGAAAATGTGCTGGATTGCAGTAAATGTTTTTCTCGTTTAAACTTTTTTTTTGCCTGTAGAAGTTTAGTAATCATTGTGTTGAGTGATAGCTTGATATAAAAATAAAAATGCCTTTTGCTTTCTTGCTCTTGTTTTCTTTTCTTCCAGGTGTTTTGGAAGGTCACAGAACAGCAAAAAACTCGATGTGCAGAAAAGGGCAAATCCAAACAGGTGAATAGTTTCCACCATATAGTTCATCCATGTGCCTTTCAAAAGAACATTCTTAGTAATATTGGGAAAGTAATTAATTCGTCTTGTGACCCTTTAAGAAAACCTGGAGCATATGTTTTATTTATTTCTCCTCCTCCACTTTTGTTTTTGCAAACTGTCTTTTTGAATAACTGCCTTTTGTGTGTCTCCGATAAAAAATAAATGTGTAAATATGTAGTATAAATGCTATATATATATATTGTGTTGTTGCTGATACATTATGATGACCTATGGTTTTAAGCAATGACGCTTGTTCTTTATTCAATATACAGCTGATTATCAAATTACTGCCTAGTAATCCTGCTGGAAAATGTTGGTAAACTAGCTTATTTTCCCAAATGCAGTAGTATATTAAATAGCACTGTGAAAGGTATCCAGCTCTTCCCTAAGCAAGCTGCTGCTTCTGCCTGTTGTTGGTATCTCTTCCATTTGCAAGCAAGGCTGGCTTTTTGTAACAACACTTGACAAATGAGGAAGAAGAAGCTCTTGGAAGAGCAAGCCTCACAGCTTGCTTTCTTACCACTGCTGTTCAAGAAAGAGGAGAATAGGGCTTAAATAATAGTAACAATAAGTCTATTTCAACTTATAGCAACCCTTCCCAGGTTCTTTAAATGGAGAATATACAGAAGTGATTTAATCTTCCCTTCTTCTAGGGGCACCCTGGGACTGCGCACAGGGTGGGTTTTCTCACAGGAGGCACAGTGGAGACTTGAACTCCTAACCCTTGGCTCCTAAACCACTGAGCTATCCAGCCAGCCTTAAAGTATTGTCTCACTTTTATGCTTTTCATTTCTTTTAATTAATGAGCATGGTTGCCCACACTTACTGTTTGTTGAAACTTATACTTTTTAAAAAATAAAGTTGAGTGTGCATTTAGAAATGAAATCTTTGTTACCATTAGGAAAATATTTAAAGTTCCATGTCTCATTTAGATTGACTCACAAGAAACCAGATTCAACTACATTGGCCATAGTGTAAAAATTTAGATTTGACTCAGACTCAATAGGTTCTCCACCTGCACATTGCCAAGATATTTGGAATAAGATTTTTACCATACTAGAATGATCAAATTTTCCTCTTTGGCTGTTAACGGCAGCTATTGATTCACAGCCAAAATCTGGAATCCATTTTTTTTGGGTTTAGACAGGTGTCTTTTTAAACCAGGGGTCCCCAACCCCTGGTCCGCGGCCTGGTGCCGGTCCATGGCCATGGCAGGACTGGGTTGTGGAGAGAGCTCTCCCGCCCCCCCACTTCCCCCAATCACCCCACCCACATGCATGTCCTGCCACCTGCATGCACGGGTGCCCCGCCCTCCGTGAGCCCTCCCTCCCCTATGCACATATGCACTAGTGCGCCCCTCCCCTCCATGAGCACACCCCACCCACTCGTGAGCATGGTGGGTGCCCCGCTCCCCCAGCCGGTCTGCGGTTCAGAAAAGGTTAGGGAGCACTGTTTTAAACAATTAAATGGGGCCTTCACTGGAGGGTAGTAGCCTTGTTAGTTGGCTGCAGCAAAAACAACAATTTTTGTACCACATTAAAGATGAGCCAGTTTAGGCTAAGCTGTTTGTTTGTTTGTTTGTTTGTCTGTTTGTTTGTTTGTTTTGGATGGACCAAATTGTGGTTCAGGAATGTTTACACCAAGTAAAATCAGGGAATCTGATAAAATTTAACTTTCTTTTAGAGAAGGACTTTATACCTGCCCTAGAGTTTATAGTGGGGAAAACATCTTAATATAAATTAGTGAGTTAATGAGTACATTTATCCATTCATAATTCAATTACGTACAGTTTAACTCTGGTGTCTACTAAGGTTGCTGATTGTTGCCATAGGAGAACGTGTATAAGACATAAAAATAATGTCGTAGACATCAATGAATTTTGCAGGATAAAGTAAAATATTCTTTCAGTGGGATCTTGCTCCACATAAATTAACAAAAATTAGTTTAAAAAGTCATTGAATAAATGCAGGAGATGTAATCCACAACATTTAAATGTATTACGTGCATTTTTGTCATATCTCAAAATACAATTTTGGGCGCATACTGTGATTGAGTTTATTAATAATATGATAGGTTGTACTGTTGAATTCCCAGTGTGATGTACTGGATAGAGTGACAGAATAGGACTCTGGAGAACAGAGTTCAAATCCCCCCTTGACCATGGAAACTTTCTGGGAAAGTGAAACTGGTAAAACCACTCCTTAAATATCTCACCTATCTTGAAAACTGCATCAGGATCATTATAAGTCAGTCCCAACTTGACAGCACAGAACACATACATGTTAGAGTCTAAGCATGTTACCATATTATATTGGCTCATGTAAGAGAAGGTGTTAATGAATCCGATAGCAAGCTGATTTTAAGTCTACTCATTGCAGCTTAGAGGGCTGTAACAACAAACTGGAAGAAAAAGGGGGAAAAGCTATCTTCTGACTAGTATAATCATATACAAGGAACATTGCCTTGTTAACTATGTTGATACATCAACAGATGATGCAAAGAAATTATTTACAAGGTACACATAAATTTTATGAGCAGTGGGCAATATCTGTTATGCTTTGGAATGAGAAAGAAGTGGAACATATCCCTTTTGCTTTTTATAGGTTCTTACAGAAATCCATATTATTGTGGTTTATTTTAAAAACAATAAGTTTACAAAAATAATAATGTGCTGTCCAGTGTGGGATCATACTGTCATAACTAGGGGTCCTGTCTCAAATATTATAAGTAATTCTGCTTTTTAAATTCATTATTTTATTTGTTAGTAACTGAACAGATAAGGAAACTGGCATCCGGATCCTGTATTTGTTACGGGGAAGCCCCATTGAAGACCATACTTCCATATTTGTGCATAGAATTGAAACTATACAAATAACTATAATTGAGGCTCTTTAAGATCAAACATTATGCTTGCAGGTTTTTTTTATTTTCTTCCCTTGCTACTTTCTCTTTTTTACAGACAGAGTGCCTTAACTATGTGCGTGTCTTACAACAGCAAAATGACTCCTTGCTCTATGTCTGTGGAACGAATGCATTTCAGCCAGTCTGTGATCATCTGGTAAGTGCACAAATGCATTTTCTTTTAGCCACACCTATAAAAGCATTAGAAATTCCCTAGTTCTGCAGTGTACAGTCTGGTGATGAGGAGCAAACCCCATGTATTATATATATTCCTGCTCCTTGACTCAGTTGTCTGCTGAGGTCCAATCATCATTTCCCAGCAAAAGGTGTCTCATGAGGATTTTGTTTCCATCCCATTTTGTGTCCCTAGTTTTCCTGTCAGACATGGTCATACTAACTTTCAGATAGCATAAACATTCTGTCTGCTTGACACCTGCTGCCATGTCTCTTTCCAAACACTTCCTTTTCTGCCCATCTTTCTCTCTGTCAGCTCCTGGCTATGCCATCGTTTCATACTACTGAATGCTTCAGAATGAAGTTGGACTTGTGCTTAAAAAATAAAAATCACTTTTGCCTGCTTTCTGTGTTTCCGATTCTATTACCACTTCTTCTTTACCTGGATCTTACTTTGTTCCAGGAACAGGATTCTTGACCTTTTGGTGGGGTCTCTCTTACCTGTAAATGTCTGTCATCATTTCCACAGCATTTCTTGAATGTGTTCTTTCCCTTATTTTTGTCCCAGCTGACTACCTTATTTATGGATGAATAAATTCCCAGTTAAATAACTTCTCAGTTAAATTATCATTTAATAGCTTTCTTCCATGAGAAGAGTTTACTTAACTCTTGTGCACCACAATTTTTTATGGTACCAAGTAAATTGCAGTACAGTGGTGCCTTGCAAGACAAATGCCTCGCAGGACAAAAAACTCGCAAGACAAATGGTTTTGGCAATTTGGGGGCGGGTGGGTTGATGACTTGCAAGACAAATGTTCCTATGACCATGTTTCGCAAGAAGAATGTTTTCTCTATTTTTAGTTCCTGTGTCATATTTGCTGATTTTTAAATGTTTTTCTATGATGTTTAAAAAATTGAAGTTTTTTGATTGAAATTTTTGAAATCATCTGCACAATTATGTATGGCTTTAAAGAGCATTTAATAAACCCTTTGTAAACCAAATTTGACTGTTCTGACTTTTTTTGCCCATAGGAACGCATTAATTAGATTTCAATGCATTATGTGAAAACTCGTTTGGCAAGACGAATTTTTCACAAGACAGCATTAACCGCAGAACGAATTAAATTCGTCTTGCAAGGCACCACTGTATATCTTCTGACACTAGTGAGAATTGCAGTTGTATTTAGGAGATAGAGTTAGGGTTAGTGTTAGGATATAATGTTTCTTGCTTGCTATGTGGAATATTTCCTGACACACACACACACCAGCATCCTTTTCCCCATGGTGGAATAAGTTTGTGTTCTCCCCAAATAGGATCAACACTTTTAACAACCAGATCATGTCACTTCTGTTTTGCTGCTTCATCATTTGTCAAAATATGACATTGGGCATTTTCTCACTAATTTTTTATGTTGACTGGAACAAAAGAATAGCCCAAAATCAGGTCCTTTTGGAAAGTGTGAGGGCAAGAGGAGAAGGGGACGACAGAGGATGAAATGGTTGGACAGTGTCATCGAAGCTACCAACATGAATTTGACCCAACTCCGGGAGGCAGTGGAAGACAGGAGGGCCTGGCGTGCTCTGATCCATGGGATCACGAAGAATCGGACACAACTAAACGACTAAACAACAACAACATTCTCTCTTTATACTTCAAGGAATATATATGGCACTTAACGACTAAACAACAACAACATTCTCTGTTTCTTTATACTTCAAGGAATATATATGCCAATTGTTTACAAAGGCAACAGTGCTCAAAATACATTATTTTTCTAGTTCTGTGCAAAATCTGCAGTAAAATTTGTGGAACTATAATGCCTCATCCTCATGCATAAAAGTTAATATTCCAAATTGATTGATTCTGGGAAGAGATGGTTAAGCTGATTCACCTGTTGAAAAAAGATGTTGGCTTGTTTTTAATTTCTTTTTATCCCCTGAGGTTCTTCATCATGGTCTCTTTGAAATCACACATTGCGTCTTTTTTCCTGGCCTTCAAAACCATGATTAAGCTAGTTTCCAGACACTAATTCCACATTTTATTCAGACTCAATGTTGTTTATTAGCCTTGGTTCAAGCTAGGCTATTAAACCAGCTTCAATTTGTAATTTAATATCCTAGCTTGTTCCAAGTCATAGTTTTGTGTTTTGAATACATAGGGAATAAAGGGCAATGAAAGATAAGTTGTTCTGTGCCAGATTGTTTTGATCGTCCAAATACAGCCATAGTCTTCGAGATACAACTTACTTTACTTTTCCCATACAGTTCACACTTCAGTTCCTCACATGATGCCTGTCTTTTCTTCCTTTGCTAACACAATCTTTCTCCAAAGAGGTAGCCATTTTTCCTTCATGGTTGTCTAATCTTTTTAATTATTTCTACGTCGTCTTTCTCTCACCTTAATTTGGATTTCGTGGGAAAGTAACAGCAGTAGTTGTGTGGTTTTTGGTTCATTTTTAAAGAAAGTACTTTGCGTAATGGGTCCATCCCAAGTAGTCTAATCCTTTCTTCTGTTACTTGGGGTTTTACATTTTTATTACAGTAATTGACTCATAGTGCAACATTGTAAAGTGCACTGTTCTACATATAGTTTTAGAAGAGGCAGCTGTGTTACTCTGTGCTAGGATATCAGGCAAAATCCAGAGAAACAAAACAAAACAAAAGACAAAAACATGTGGCATCTTAAAGAATAACTGTTGTATTTTAATGTAAGCTTTCGTGGACATGTCACCTCATCAGACATGAAAGAAACAGAAATCTGTACAATACGCCATATTTAAACAAATTTTATATTTCATTCATTTAATAAAAGCAATGTAACACATATGGTATATTTTCTCTGATTGAAATGATAGTAGAGTACACTTGTGTCACGGTTTATTTTGCAGTTTTTAAAAACTGCATGTTTATTAAGAACAATCAAGGCTATAGAGCTGATTGTGTCGGTCTTTTTCTAATGGAGTCATAGTGTAGTGAATGAGCCACATGACTTTCTTCAGCGCATTTTAAAGTTGCATTTCATTCCATAAATTAGTCAGGCCAGTTTTTGGCAGTGAAGTCAGATGGTCATAAATTGACACCTGGGAATGTTGTAGAAAAAATGCAGTTTCGTATAAAAATGTGTTGCTGGTAGTTGCATGCATTGGTCTCTATGTATCTATGATCCCACTGAAATAAGATGCTTCTGGATACTTTCATTATGCAGTCATCCTATCTCAGTCGTGGTTTTACAAGGGATCCAGACCTTGAGCTCTCCCTCTTGTAGTCCTACTGTTTCTTAGGGTGTTTTTTAAAACTTGCCATAAGAAATAGTTTAAGGAGGGAAGATGGACTATTTCTGCAGTGCCTTTAGCTTGCTAACAGTAGGAACTGTTCATTTGGATAACCCTAAGTGTTAACATGTATGTGCTGGGTTGTGGTTGTTCATGTTTTCAAATAGAAAATAAAAGGTATGGCTTAATTGTTTTGTAGAAGGTGACATCATTTGAACTTACGGGCAGAAACGAAGATGGTAAAGGGAGATGTCCTTTTGATCCTGCACAAAGTTATACATCAGTCATGGTTGGTAAGTATGAACTTCTTTTGTTATATCTTGATCTTATGGTTAATTTGGGCACAATCCAAAACAGTGTATGCGCATATATGGCACTAAATTCCAAGTATTTTTCTGAACTGCTTTTTAAGAGTTGCTCTTAGAAGCTCACAAACTTTCCTTTTAGCTTCTCTGGAATTCAAAAAGCAGTCTGATTATGACTCATGAGAGCTTTGTAAATGATTTCTTCTACATGTTCTTCATTGTACCCCGTTTCCCCGAAAATAAGCCCTAGTATGATTTTTCAGGATGCTTGTAATATAAGCCCTACCCCAAAAATAAGCTCTAGTTAAGTGAAACCCTGCCCTCCACCATCGTGCAGAAGATGACGTGACTGTATTTGAATAAATGTAGATTGTTGTGCATGAAAAAAATAAAACATCCCCTGAAAATAAGCCCTACTGCGAGGTTTTTTTTGGGGGGGGAAGCAAAAATTAATATAGACCCTGTCTTATTTTTGAGGGAACACAGTAGGTTTTTTTTTAACCACTCCACTCCCAACTGTATGTCCTTCATTTCTTACTTCATTCACAAGAATTAAATGATAGTTTTTATTAGTAGTTGTTTAAAATCCTTTAGAATAGAATTAAATACGTATAAAATAGAATTTGTTTAACCAAGCATATTTGTTTATCCAAGGAAACAAAAGGTTTAAATTAAACTAGTATATTCAGATACCATACAGAACAGATTACAGACTTGATGCATAACCTTGAGAGCTGAACAATTTGTGGTTCGTGTTTCAGTACAGATGGTGTAGAGCCGTGGTTCCCAATTTTGGGTAACCAAGCTGTCCTTGGACTTCATCTCCCAGAAATCCCTGTCTGCACAGCTGGTAGTGAAGGCTTATGGGAGCTGTAGTGCAAAAACTCCTAGGTTACCCAAGATTGGGACCCACTGGTGTAGATGTATATGAGAGTTTGGTAGCTGGGAAAGAAATACATGGTGGGTGTACAGTTTGTGCAACTTTGCTAACTGGTGGCTAAGAAGATTAGGAGAACATAGAGGATATAATGGGAAGAGTTTTGAATTTTCAGTATTTTAGTTGTGTCAGTCTGTTGCAGCGCAAACAGCAGAAAGTCATGCGGCACTTTTAAAGCTAACATTTCTTAATTGACATGGACGTGTTTTAATGCAGTCAAATATTTGGAGAAATAGTGTTTTAAACTGCTTAATTGTATACATATGTATTATTCATGCAATTTTACTTTCTTGAAAAGATGGGGATCTTTACTCTGGAACGTCTTACAACTTCTTGGGAAGTGAACCAATCATTTCGAGAAATTCGCCGCAAAATCCACTAAGGACAGAATATGCAATTCCTTGGCTTAATGGTAAGGAGGTGATAAGGAGCCACCAGAGAAATAAACATATGCCAGAATTCTCCTGTTTGATCTAGTAATTTTTCCATTGAAACAATATTCTTTGAAGTGTTCTTTTCTACTTTCAAAAGAAACAAGGTTTCTTTCCTGCCCCTCTTTCAGATTAGGTGAAAGACTTTATAAATCATTCATTAGTGTTTGATAGAAATAATATTGAAATACCAAGATCCTAAACATCATTAATTTCATTGGCAAAACTTATTAAAGCAGTTTGAAAACATTGTGATGGTTGAATTTCTCTTTAACATCTAGTTTGGCTGTGAATAGTCAAGGGCTTGCAAGCTCCTATCAGACAGAAGAGGGAAAAATATGAATCATAATACAGATTTATTCAACTATGACATAAACCTTACAAATCACAATAATTAATAGGATTCATTGAGATATCTGTGAAGATTCTCAGTCATCCAGGTGTGGTTATCTAGAAGTTGAGCCATGGCAACTGGACTTCTTTCTTGTTAGATTGAAACAATTTACTACTCTTCCAAGTAGCTTCTTCAGTCCTTGGAAGATTACTTTACCATAGTAGCCAAGTTTTGGAGCTATTGTAGTTTGCAAAGTAAACACAAGAAACTGCAGACTGTAATCATCAATTCAAAAGTGTCTTTGGATCTTGATCTGACTTGTTTATGTGTTAAACCGTCTCCTAACTGTCTCCTACAGATTTTCCTGGTGCAGTACAGAAATTGCAGAATATTATAGTAGAACAGGGGCTTGGAGCTATTGTAGTTTGCAAACACAAGAAACTGCAGACTGTAATCATCAATTCAAAAGTGTCTTTGGATCTTGATCTGACTTGTTTATGTGTTAAACTGTCTCCTAACTGTCTGCTACAGATTTTCCTGGTGCAGTACAGAAATTGCAAAATATTATAGAGAACAGGGGCATCATATACTTTTAGGCAGAAAGTCTGTAAGCAGCCATTAATTGAAAATACTGAGAACTGTAGGATGATCAGATTTTTGAAATAAACTCTGATTTTGTATATATTTGTTTCTTCTTTAGAACCACATTTTGTTTTTTCTGATGTGGTAAGAGCTGATCCAGATGATGCCAATGAGGATGATGACAAAGTATATTTCTTCTTCACTGAGGTTTCTGTGGAATATGAATTTCTCAGCAAGCTGATGATTCCAAGGATAGCTAGAGTTTGTAAGGTGGGATACAACTAAACCATTTTTTCCTTTGTTTCAGCTGCTCAGGGGGAGCAGTTGTAGAAAGAGTTTGTGTCGATTCTGCTTCTGCTTTATTTAGCACTTTTCAGTTCCTGCAGTCCAGACATACAGTCCGTTTGTTCTTTTTCCATAAGGCTAATGAGACTTGGATGGACAGTGGTCTCTGTAAAGCTGATTATTTCCTCTGTCCATTCAGGGGATGTCTTGTGAATGAAAGATACCTGCTGTGCTCCCAGCACTAAACTTGGGACTGTTAGGAACTTCCTTGTGGATGTATCATTAATATGCGAAAGTGGGTTGGTTCTGTCAAAAAAGCATTTTGTTCTTCTTGGAAAATGATTGTGAAAATCCATGTCTTTAAATAAAAAGAGGAAAAGATTTCAGATTTGTTAGATTCTCCCATCTTCTTTCACTCCTTCTGTGACTCATAAACTGTCAGTTGAATTCTAGCCATGGCAGCGTTAAGAGAAGCAGGATACGACGGCTGACTCGGCTGTGCCTGACACATTTCTAAAGGGCTCCAGACAAAGCTCACACTTTTCTCACAGCACTAAAATTTCTTGCTTGACTGTGATGTGACAGGTGGCACTTCTGTACTGAGCTGCCATAGCCCGAAAGAAAACTAATGCAACCAGCCTGATTCTGTCAATCTTCACTTATTTTCCATTCATTGGGAAGCAAGGTTGCATTTCTCATACAGATTTAACAAGTGTGTTGTCATCTCATTTTTTTTCTCCACCTTTCTTGTGGGTAGTAGGGAGGTTGTATCTTTGGTTTTAAATTACAGAGTGTAATTAAGCAACAGAAACTGATGAAGTCTGCTAGATTTGTGATATCCCAGCTGTTTGAAGCAGATTTTCTTTGGCATAGTGGCAGTGATAGTCTTCTTTCTGCTGACAGTGTTTTCATTACTTTAAATTGGCATGTGGTCTGCTGGTCTGCAATACTTTATAATTTACGTGGAGCTATATATAGGTTTTTTGGAGGAAGGGGGCAAACATATTTTTCTCATTGTTATGAAAATAAATTACCTTCCAATATTTTGAAGTGCCTTTGTGAAAAAAGAACATTATAGCTAGGTTGGATAGATTTTACATCAAGACATCTGCTTTTTGCAAAATGCAGACACAGCAGAAGTGGGATAGCAAGGGTATTTTTAAACTCCTTATAGGAGTTGCAGATTTACTGCTTTCAGACCTACGTGTGTTTTCTGTCAGGCAGCTTGCAATTAAAATTCATTATTTGCTAAGCTGTTACAGCTTCTGCACCACAAAGAAAAGAAGCCCTTGCTGCAGTTGCTCCTCAGAGTGGTCTCGGTTCGGGTTCTAGGAAAGGTAATGCTGAGGTGGAGAAGTATCTGAGAGTCAATTTTTTCCCCTCCTACCCCAGGGCTTCTGACAGTACTTTCTGGAGTGTGAGAAGAAGCCCTGCAGTAGCAGCCCCCTAGGCCAGGAATGTGACATGAATAGCTGGGTTGAGTGTCCATGACCCATGCTAGGGAAGTGGGGACAAATTTTAAAGTGTTAATGAATTATCATGTAAAATCTTTGATTATATAACCTCCTTGCTCAATCCAGGAGCCAGTCCTGGTTCTACGCATTCATTTGAAGTATACGGTGATTGGTTGGGAGGACAGATAGATAATAAAAGGGATTTCCAATATTTTCTTTATGTCAAGACAAATGTCCTGTATATGCATGTTGTTTGAGGACTATGAGACCATTGTTCTCGTCCTACAGTCATATATTTTAGCTTCAAGCACACGTGACCTCCAGGTAGTCAGCCCACATGGCTATGTTGCAACAGGAGTACTTATGAAGGGGTTCTTACACAACATATATTCCTATGAATATATGAGCAATATATGACGATGATGATGATGATGATGATGATGATGATGATGATGATGATGATGCCAGAGTTGAAAATAAAGAATTGGAAAAACTAACAAAATACAGAGACCTGGCAATCAAAGCATCTCGTTTGCGGATGAAACACACTTCAGTGGTCCTCGGGGCTTTGGGAACAGTATCAAGAAATTTCACACAGTATTATAAGGAGTTGCAGATTTCAGAAATCACACTATCAAAGCTACAAAAAACGGCAATGTTAGGAACAGCATACATACTGCACCGATATTTAATAGATACTTAGGTTTTTGGTTAAAATGTGTATCTGTTATAGCAATGGTCCCCAACCTTGTGCCTCCTGATGTTCTTGGACTACAACTCCCAGAAGCCTTTACCACCACCTCTGCTGGCCAGGATTTCTGGGAGTTGAAGTCCAAGAACATCTGGAGGCCCAAGGTTGGGGACCATTGGGTTATAGGATACCAGTCAATGTTTTTATAATTTTGATTGACTGTGTCTGGTGTTTTTGTACAACAGCAGCAGCAGCAACAACAGAAGGAAAAGTTCTTCAGGGTGATGTGTGAGGTTGATAAAGCATGTGGAAGGTTAGGATGTGATGTAGAATGAGTGAGGTGGAGGCAGGTGTTCTACATCTACATGGCAGACTGTGAGGTGAAAAAAATGTGTTCTTCCCATTCTCTAGCTCCTAGGTTCCCAACCTTTGTTACTCAGATGTTTTTGAACTGCAACTCCCAGAAACCCCAGCCAGCACAGTTGGTGGTGAAGGCTTCTGGGAGTTGCAGTCCACAACTCCTGAGTAAGCCAAGGTTGAGAACCAGTGCTCATCAGTTGTCATAGGAGCTACTGCATCAAGTCACATGGCTTTCCCATTGTTTGATCTTATTGGAGGAAGTCTAAGATCTATAACTGTCTCCATGTACTCCTTGTTCTCTGCAAGTTTATGTATGAAATCCACGTGGATCCAATTGGTGCCTGAAGTTATTTACAGTGACATTTAGATTTTGGTTCTTAATCTGACATGTTACATCACTTGGATCTTGACTTCTTCCTCAATGGGTGGATTTTGGTTCTTAATCTGACATGTTACATGTTAAAAGTGATCACTTGGATCCTGACTTCTTCCTCAATGGGTAGATTTTTCTTTACTATTTTACTGGAAAACTACTCAAACTTGTCTGTGGACTCTGGGGAGGGAATTTGCTGACCTAACTTTTTCCTCTTCATTTTTCTTTAAAGGGTGATCAAGGAGGACATAGGACTTTACAGAAAAAATGGACTTCCTATCTCAAGGCTCGATTACTATGCTCAATACCAGATAAAAACTTATTTTTCAACATTGTCAATGATATCTTTATCTTGAAGACACCGGACTCAAAGGATTCAGTGATTTATGGGATCTTCACCCCACAATTGTAAGTAAAGCATTTGCATTTTAAAGTAATAATCATTACTACAGAAGTGTGAAATAGTAATGTGCTAAGGGTTCTTAATTTCCTTCTCTTTTAAAAGGAATAACGTAGGACTTTCAGCAGTATGTGCATACAATATCTCTACAGTGGAGGATGTTTTTGCCAAAGGGAAGTACATGCAGAGCACCACAGTAGAACAGTCTCACACAAAGTGGCTACGATACAATGGAGAGATTCCCAGACCCAGGCCTGGAGCAGTAAGTCTGGATAAGCTGAGAGCTGATTAATGTTACTGTCATAAGAAGTAATTTTTATTCTGGTGTCAAGTATAATCATAGAAGATCTCTGCCTCCCATCATTATAAACAGTTACAGTGGTGCCCTGCTTGACGATTACCCCGTTTGATGCTGAAATTGCTTAATGATGAGGTTTTTATGATCGCTATAGCAATTGCAAAACGATGTTTCAATGGGTAAAATCCGCTTTACGACGATCGGTTCCCTGCTTCAGGAACCGATTTTTCGCTTCACAACAATCTTTACAGCTGGTTGTTGGGTTTTCAAAATGGCCTCCCGCTGTTTTCTGGACCGATTTCCGGAAGACAGCGATCGAAAATGGCTTCCCCTATGGAGGATCTTCACTGGGTGATGAGGTCTTTCGCCCATTGGAATGTATTAACCAGTTTTTAATGCATTTCAATGGGTTTTTTACTTTCGCATGACGACGATTCCACTTAACAGCGATTTGAATGGAACGGATTATCGTCGTCAAGTGAGGCACCACTGTAATTGTAGTTGTAGCTTTTATATTACAGTAATAGCATTCAAGGAATGCTTATTTGGAAAGAAAGGTCTTCAGTGGAGATTGAAAACAAATGTAAGGGCATGTGTGGCTGCATAGCTCTGTGAGTTGGCCTCTTGGCTACAGAGCCAGAGATTGGGAGTTCAGTTCCCCTACTGGGCGTTCTGGAAGAAGAGCCAGTCTGTGTAGCATTGGGCAAGCTGCATGACCCCAGAGCATCCCCCAGAAGTTGGGATCAACTTGATGGCATGTAATTAATATTATTATTTCCATATTTTAAATATTTGTTTTGTTTTTCACATGTCTGTGAGGCTGTTTTGCAACTTTGGATTCAGAAAACATTTTAAATAAACATAATAAATATGTTATGAACCAGTCCCAAGAAAGAAAGCTATGTGGGCATTTTTTTCACACTTTAGATTAGTTGTAAGCTTTTATAATTCGGAAAGAAGCCATGTTAAATAGTAACATAAATAAAATATAATCATGAAATTAAAGATGATGTTTAGTCTCTCTGAAGCCATCTTACTTCCTCCCAGAATGACCTAACTTTACCTGTGTCTGAACAGCAAAGATAGTAAAAGTGTGCTGCTTGTAGAGCACCCCATATCACTTAAAGCACTCCTCTGGGCAGTTTACAATGTAATTATGCAGGGTACCCACTACTACACATCCACGTGCGTTCCTCCCCCCCCCCCAGCAGACATACAAACCAAGTTGGCTACTCAATTTACCAATCTTGGAAGGATGGAAGGATGAGTCAGCCTTGAGCTGGCTACCTAGAATTGAACCCAGGTCATGAACAGAGTTTTGGCTTCAGTACTGCAGTTTAAGCACTGCACCACGAGACTGTGTTGCCAATCAGTACAGGTAGATATTACAAATTATTCTTAGCCTGACTGATTTAGCATGATGGAATTGCCATATTTTCCCGTGTATAAGATGATACTTTGTATCTAAAATCTTTAAACTAAAAATTCCCACGGGGCTTATGAAGTGGCAAGGAAAGCAGCCTTCAAAGGGCTGCAGAACCAAAGGGCTGCAATCCTCTCAGCTCTTTCATTGCTTTCACCCTCCACTTTCCCAGCCCTTTCATCCTGCTTTCGTGGGGCTTAGGAAGTGGAGGGGGAAAGCAGCAATCAAATTTTCTTATTTGAGGTTGGAAAAGTGGGGGTCGTCTTATACATCGGGTCATCTTATACACAAAAAAATCTGGTACTCATCAGGTGCAGTTTTGTGTGTGTGTGTGTGTGTGTGAGTGAGTGAGAGAGAGAGAGAGAGACAGACAGAAGGAAGCAGTGAATGTATACTAAAGCAAAAATAGATTAAAAAGGAGAGTTGAACTCTTTTATTGTTTCAATACAATCAAAGAATTTAGATGTTTGCACTGCTTTAGACCCTGGAGAAAGCAATCTGACTTCATTGAAAATATTGCTCAAATAAACCTTAGTCTTTGAAACCCACCATATTTTTATTAAGGTGATGTGACACATCCATCTTGATCAGTGGTTCATATTTTACATTTTTCTTCCAAGATTTCTGATGCATTTCAGGAACAAATACTTATTTTCCAGCCTTGTCTGGCTATCGCACTCATATATAGATGACTTTTTACACTTCCGGGAAACTCCTGGTTTTGGTCGGGGGAGGGTTCTACTTCATACAGTCAGATAATACAGTATTTAAGAGTAGCAACAGAATCTCCAAGGAAGGAGACTGTATACACAAACACGTTGCCTTGTCAACAGTGCAGTTAGTTATCCCACTAAATAGACAAATCAGGTGGAATAGTATATTAGTAAATTATAAACAACTTCTGGCATTACATAAATATTTTAAAATCATAGTAGTAATAATAGGCTTAGTTTAAATTATGCTTTAATTATTTTAGTACTGTATCCTTGTTTGTTTGTTTGTTTGTTTGTTTGTTTGTTTGTTTGTTTGTTTGTTTGTGTGGCTGGTTGGTTATTAAAATAGCTCTAACATTCTCATTAATCCTGTGCCATATGTTTAATTTGTTGTTCTTTGAGCAGTGTATAAACAAGGAGGCTAGAGCAGAAAATTTCAAGACAACACTCAATTTACCTGACAAAACGTTGCAGTTTGCCAAAGACCATCCTCTGATGGACGACTCCGTAACCCCAATAGGAGATAGGCCTAGACTAATAAAACGTGATGTGAAGTATACACAGATTGTGGTAGACCAAGTTCGAGCATTGAATGGCACGTTGTACGATGTCATGTTCATCAGCACAGGTGAGTCTTCCATGCTTTGAAGATTTGATAGTGTAGAACTAAGATCAGTGGCTTTTCATTAAAATTGAGTGGTTGGTTGAGTGCTTTTTACATATTTATCGGCAGAAGCCATAAACTGAAAATATTTAAGGTCCTAAATAGCCTTGTTCCTTATGAATTGCTTCCCTGCCATGTATTATGTACTCTTATAAACACTTAGCTCAGTGTACGAAGTCTATTATCTTATGTAGTCTTTTGCTTGTTATCAACGTTCCCCTTCCCTGGGATTCAGTGGTTAAATATGAGTATGAGATCTTGTATTTGCAGTGATGTGGTTGTAGATTGTCCTGGGAAAACCATCCCAGCTACATAATTGCTAACCTTTCATTTTGTGAGAAAGATTTGATTTTTCTTCAAATATTTATGAGTGGCTGCTACTTGTAGGTTTTTGTGTGTATGTAGATATGCTTTGTCTGTCATTCTTCTTATCATTTGTTGTATTTGTAGTTTTTAAATATGGTCTTTTGATTCGTAGTTGTTAGATGTCTCATGTTTGTTTGTTTGTTTTGCTCCCAATGAAAGTGAGTTATACATTTTAGAATGAATAGATCAGGATAACATTGTAATTAAAGTATTTAACAAGGTTCAGTGATGATTACGTTATTTGTAATAGAAACATTTCCAGTTAATCCCATATTTGGATGGATTATAAAATAGATGAAAATAAAAAAATTCCCATGTTGGGATATATTCAGAGAAATCTATCAGGGCCTCCATGTCTGTCATAAGCAAGGCCAAAGTAAAAAATGAGCAGGCCCCTGCCTCTCCTTTTCCCTTCCTTTATTCCGCTTCTGTCAGACTGCTAGGAAAGGAACAGATTTCTCTTTCTTAAAGTCTGAAGTGATCATTTGCAAAGAGCGTTTCAAACTAATGTGCTGCAAATAGCTTACTCCTTGGGCTAAAGGCAAAACTCAAAGGGCTTGCTTTTTTCAGGGCTGTGGTGGTTGTGGGAATCTGGGATTTGTTATCTAAAAAAGTAAATTTCCATGTTCTGGATAACAGACAAGATTATGTGACGCTAGTTGTAGAGAAAGTTATCACTACAAAAGGTGCTAAAGGTGAACTATGCCTCAGATAAAGAAGAGAAGAGGTAAAAGCCATTTAATGTTGGGGAGGTTGTAAGGGCAGGTGCTTCAGTTTTTGAAGAGAGGCTTTGGTTAAATGAAAATTGCTCTGAATGTGGGTGTTCAGCCAAAAACCCTGTGAAAAGCTTAGGAAGAAGCTACCCTGTTTCCCTGAAAATAAGACCTAACCTGAAAATAAGCCCTAGTATGGTTTTTCAGGATGCTCGTAATATAAGCTGTACCCAAAAAATAAGCCTCAGATAAGGGAAACCCCACCCTCCACCATTGTGCAGCAAACAGAAGATGATGACTTGACTGCAAAATAAAACATCCCCTGCAAATAAGCCCTAATGCGTTTTTTGGAGCAAAAATTAATATAAGACCCTGTCTTATTTTTGGGGAAACACGGTAGCTGCAGAACCCTTACACTGAAGAAGCCCCATCTGAAGATGATGTCAAGTATATTGTTTATTTTTTATATGTTTAATGGTTCCTGCTGTTGCTGTTTGTAATTTTGATGTCCTGGCTATTATACAATGCCCAGAAAGTGCTTCTTTACTATGGCTCAGTATAAAAATATAATAAATAAATAAGCAGTGTGTGCGTGGATAAATTTGAAGTAACTTTTACCTTTATATCCTAAAATATGACCTTCTCTTGTTTCAGATCGAGGAGCCCTTCACAAAGCAATCAGCTACAAAAATGGAATGCATATTATTGAGGAAACTCAGCTCTTCCCTAACTTTGATCCCATTCAGACTCTGTTGCTTTCTTCGAAAAAGGTGAGGCTGAGTGAAAAGAACAGCGGATTTCAATCTTTCTCTCTCTCTGTGTGTGTGTGTGTGTGTGTGTGTGTGTGAGAGAGAGAGAGAGAGAGAGAGAGAGTGATACAAACATGCACAGCACAAAAGGTAAAGGGCAGGAAAGTAGCTGCTGACTTTAAAAATGTCTAATGGGAGCTTTATTGCCGTAGTATAAGAAACTGACATGCCATACAGAGAGTGGATGTGGATCAATAGCAGGATTGGAGGATTCCCAAGAATCCTGTTCTTTCGGGGATTCAGAGGGTTGTTATAATCTCATTTTAAGCTGCTTTTATTCAGAGATTTGAAAGACTCCCTTTTTTTGGGACAACTGCCAGAATCTCCTAGCCATCATAGCCCCTGGTCACACTGGCAAAGGATTCTGATAAGCAGTTTTAAAAAGGAAGCCCTTTTGAGCTCTGCTTTTATTTCAGCAGACTTTGTGTCAGTGGAACATTATGGAAACCACAGTTCCTTAAATGTGGGTAGAGGGCATGGATCCATGTAAAACCTTGAATGTGGAATAGAAGACCTCACGTGCAATCCTTGAAGTCAGGTAGCAGATGATGGGGAGGACCCTTGCCAAGCTGCTGCCAGTCATAGCAAGCAGTATAAGGCTAGGTAGACAAAAATTCAGACTTGGTGTAAGGCAGCCTCCTATGAACTTGAGAAGCTTGGCTACAGCCTGACTGCTTACATGTCTCTTCTTCAAAACCAAGGTGGCTTGCCAGGCAATACAGCACTTACAATGGCTTGATGCTTTAAAAATTAACAGGTTTTAGTTAGCAAAAGCATTTGTGGACTTCAGATCACTTTATATTTGGATTGAATCAGGTGAAGCAGGCTACAGTCCATGAAAGCTCATGCCAATTAAACTTCTTAGTCTCTAAAATATCATGCATCTCTTTCTTCTCTTTGATGCATGACTATGTAGACCCTGAACTAATTTGTCTGCTATCCCCTGGAAATTCTTCAGTAGGGAACATCAGTGCAGAGCTATCTCAATTTTTTTAATAACTCGTAAGTCACTGATTTCATGTAACATAAGTCTTTTTCCTTCTTTGTGATAAGGAAAGCATGTTGGACCAATAGCAACTAAGGGAAAGTATAGCAAAAGGCAGAATTTACTATAATACATTACATAGCTACTTGTGTGCCAGACACTTGCTACTCATGCCAAAACAATCCCAAAATGCTGTTGCTGCTGTTGCTTCTCCTTTGCTCATTCAATTGATAAGTCACAGTTCATTTGTATTAGACATGGGTCATTATTGTCAGCAGAACTGAGCAACTAGCAGTAATAAAAATCAAGCGTTTATTATTCCACTGTATCTATATAGCAGTCCATTTCAATTATTTTGACAGGTGTATTAAATCTCACAGCCAGTGAGAACAGAGTGATGGATTAGGGCTCAGGAGACTTGTATTTGAATCTCTGCTTGGCCAAAGAAGCTCACTTTGGGGGGTTTGGGTGGTAGAACCACTCCTTAAATACAGTGGGGTCTCTACTTAAGAACGTCCCTACTTAAGAACAATCCAACTTAAGAACAGCTCCATTTGCTAAATTTTGCTTCTACTTGAGAACAGAAATCCAAGATAAGAACAGGAAAAAAAACCTTTCCTGCTCTTTTTTTTAACCTTGGTCATCTTAGGTTAAAAAAAATTCTCCCCCTAGTGGTAGAGTAC